AAACATCCCAGCTCCTGCTTGGCATTGGGTGGGGAAGGGAGAGACAGTGAACCAGTGTTTGCAGCAGCCTGTGGCTGCGGTGCCAGAATACGGTAGCTTCCAACCAGAGAGCTGTGTATTGACTAGACTGCTCACTAGACTGCTCAAAAGATTGCTTACTTACGGAAACCAGGCCTCAGCACCAACTGACCTACTTCTCAGGAAGCACACTTGAGGTGGGGGAGGTGGGGGGGTAAGAGAATTGTGACCATTGAGCCTGACTGAGATTTTACACAAACTAACCTCTTCAACAAGCAGTTTGTTGGACTATTCAAACCACACACAAAACACCATTATTCTGGGAGATGCTAAACAGTAACACCAATTAAAATATGTTCTGCCACTATAAAACCTGGCAAAGTTTTAAAATGATGGAAAGTTTTCCACTGCTACTACACACAGATTAAGTATACTTTGAGTATAGCTCTGTTCCTTGGTTGAAATGAGCACACAGAACTGTATGTGCTCCAGCCTAATTACCAAGCAGAAATGTTGCTTTCACTCTGAAAAATTATTTGCACTACCAAAATAAATCTGACATGTTTCCTTTTGTAGACTTGTAAAACGTGGGGAGACTCCTTTCTAAACTAGCCTTCAGCTACCGTTACCTCTGTCCTCAGATACTTTGTAATGCAGCAACTGTATGTTTCTTTAGTCTAGGGAGCAAAGACCAGGTCAGTCTCCAAAAATCCATGATCTCTCCAGTTGCACAGGATTTGCTGAGAACCTAGTAAATTTCATTAAGAACTGGTAAACGGTTGAAGGCTTTTCTTTCTAAAGAGCATGGATCCAGTGCCTCAAAAGTGAAGTCTTTTAGAACAAGCTTGTTTAGATTAGAAGACAAAAGGTTTTTGGTTGACAAATTTGCTTTGATCTTTATTTTTTGCCCACTGACTGATGCCAGGCTTGCTGCTTCAGACAAATTCACTGGAGGTCTCCCTACCCCCAGCTCAAAGATTATTAGCCACAAAAGACACCTGATTCCTCAGTGCCAAAAGCAGGTATAGGGGGATATATTCCTCCTCACCCCAGCCCAAATAGATTTCATTCAGGCCACATATTAGGCTAGTGTCGGACTTCACTGAGGATGCTTTACTTTATAGCAGATCCAATCATCAATAAGAATTCTCTTCTTTCACATACTTTTAGAATCTTGCCAGTTACAAGAGTCTGTGTTCCTTCCATTAAGTTAGCTTTTGGGGACGGTAAGGGGGGGTGGGGTGGGGCAATAACAAAGCTTGGAAACAGACAACCTTGGGTTTTAACCCATTTCCAAGCATTCCAATTGGATTTGAAATGGAGGGGAATGGAAGAGGAATCCCTTTTTGGGCAGGCAGAAATTATCTACAGCAGGGTGAGAGTTTGTAACTTTTCCCTTTTCTTACAAACTTTGTGCCCTCTACAGGAAAAGAACCCTTTCATGCTGAATTTAGCAAACCATTAGCAGTCAAGGACCAAAATCCCTTTCAGCATTAATGGCCCATTGCAGGCTGTCAGGTCATTTGACCTCATGGGAGATATGAAATGTTAGGACAATCTCTGGCCCATTTTCAAACTTCTAGATGTTAGGAAATCCTAGACAAGGGCTCAGAAGTGTGCTGACAAAGTTCAAAACTCAGGCAGAAGATGACTTCAGACAATTTTTTTTTGCACGCCCAGCTTTTGGAGTAGCAACCAAAAAACAACAAACAAACAAAAAAACCACAAGGGGAAGAAGGGAGCCCCTCACATTAAGCTACTGATGCTGCTGTTGGGAGGAAGGGGGGGGGGGGGGGGG